AACATCATCAGTCATTAGGAAAACGCAAATCAAAACCTCAATGAGATGCCACTTCATGTCCACTGGATGGCATATTAAACAGATAACAAGCATTGGCAAGGATGTGGGGAAATTGGAACTCATACATTACTGCTGGAATATAACATGGTGCTTTGGCAAACAGCTTGCCATGTCCTCAAAATGTTGAGGATAGTTACTAAATGACCCAGTAATTTCAATCCTATGCATCTACCTAAAGAAACAACAACAAAAAATATATCCATCTAAAGCCTTGTGACTGTTCACACAGTTTTATTCATAAAAGACAAAGAAAAAATGGTCCAAATGGGTGGATGTCTATGAATATCAAGGGGCGAGGGGCAAAAGTTCAGCAGTAGGTGAATGGATAAACAAAATATGCTTACTGATGCAAGCAAACAGCATTCAGTAAAAAGGAAAAAAATACATACTGCAGTATAGAGGAAACTCAAAAACATTATGCTAAGGCACAGACACAGTCACAAGGCCGCAGATTACAATTCCATTTATATGAAAGGTCCAGAAGAGGCACATCACTGGAGGTCATCGGTAGCTGCTTGCGCAGGGAGTGGGAACATGCAGAGACTGCAAATGGGCTTTTTTGGGGGGGGCACAGAAGATGTTCTAAAACTAGATTGTGACTGCATCACCACAAACCTACTAAAAGCTATTTAACTATAAACTGAAAATGAGTGCATGTTACGGTACATAAATTATATCTTAATAGTTACTAAATAATAAAAAGGCAAAAAAAATGTACTCAAGAAATAAAAGCAAGTTTGTCTTTTGAAAATGTCAGTGTAAACTTTTTACATACTAATATACACTAGTCTCTCTACCTGCTAACTGATAACTCCAATAACATGATAAAAAAAATAACAAACATTCTAGTTTAATCACAGGGACTGTTAAAAGGAAAATTCCTTAGACCAATTAAATTTGGTAGTTATCAGAGCAAAACAAAACAGATTCGTGAATGGGCAGCTCCCAGAAGGAAAGCAGGTTCTGAGAACCCCAAACAACAAATCAGACAGCATTCTAGGAAGATCACTCAGCATTCACAGAAGACAGAAGTGGGATACAGAAAACAGCTTAGTCAATCATGCAATCAGTTGGCTACAGCTTAGCTGTTTACAACTCAAGTTAACTGGCTATAGGGCCTCCTGCAATCAACCAAAGTTTAGCTACTGTGATTAAACTCTGTGCTGATTTGGCCTATTGGGCCTATTCCAAGTACCAAGGCCAAATCCATGGCCCCCTACAAATTTTATATAACAGAAGCCTCCTCAAATAAAGACAACTAATCATACAGCACAATTGAAGCATTCATTTCATCATCTTCTTCATCTTGTTAGACTTGCTTAAATCACATTATTTTTAACCCTGTTCAAACCTGGGTAAGTATTTCCAGGTCTATTTCTAAAAAGAGTTTTAGGTGAGACCCGCAAGAGATGGGGAAAGTTATAGTTTAATGAGAATCCATTTATTCTTGCCATGTGAGAGGATTTCCAGAGAAGACGAAGAAACAGTCAGGATTAGCAAATATAGTCAGCTCCTCTGAACAGCTACAGACGTTTAAAATGTCCAGGGAAATAATCTTCTTAAGATTACCACCCAGGAGCCCTGTTCTCTGAGGGGGAAAATACTCTGGTGGTAAAATGAACTGGGAAAAATCAGACTTAGGACCTAAAAACAATTACACACAATTTTTTAAACATATTTTATCTTGATATTTTTCCCTTTGAGAATTTCTGCAGAACAGATGTGATAAGCCTCTCAAAAGARATACTTGCTAGGAGAAAGTAGTCCTAATTAGGATATGTGTCAAGGAAATATAATTATCAATTTGTCTAATTAAAATGAATATCTGAACATGCCTTAGGAATGCAACTCTTCTCAGGTGAGACATGCACAATTTATATTTTATAAACATCCATCCGTAGAGCCTAGCCCATTATATTAACGAGGAACAGATGATTGAAACAGAGCCTCACCTATCACACTACTGGAAGAAGTGCTGAGAATAATGTCATTCATGTAAATCACCGTTGCCTCAGAGCAACTGCTCTTTCACTCCGTGCACAGGTTTCAATTGAGAAACAAAATGGCTGATTCTGAAGGGGATTTCTAGTAGTGCAGGCCAGGGTCAGCAAAGCTGTGATTTTAGGGACACTTGTTTGAGTTAAATGAACCCCTCTGACAGGCAGTGTGAGTTCTGGCAAAAGAAGGGAAGAAAGAGCCAGTTCCTTTACATTCTCTGGCAAGTCCACCTCCATAGGCTAGAGGCTGTGTTTCTGCAGAACCAAGATGGCCTTAGATACCTCTAACAGTACCTGTCAAAGCTGCCAGGCTCAGCTTACATTCACCCAGATCTCTGCAACATCTGATCCTGTAAAACATTCTGCATATGTCCTCCCACCCAGCGATGTTGTCACACCAGCTCCTGGCTTTATCTTTCAGAATTTCTGGCTGTTCCTGCTCTTAACCCTCCAATGTGGTCCTCTTAACCTTAAATACCGATGTACACTAAAGTCACAGACAGTTATGCATGCACCGTCCACTATGTCACACTGTTCCCCTTAGCAACACCTTTGACTCCTAAAAGAATATCATCTACTCCCCTCTCTGTGATGGTACTCATACCTTTACCACTAGCTGTGCACTGCACCCCACAAATTGCCAGCACCTCAAATCCATCTCATCAAATGTAAGCCTGTTCCTTCCTCCCTGGCATCAGCTAACATCCTGCCACCACCCAGGACCAGTACTTAAAATCCCAACTCTCACTGCAGTGCTCTCAGAGCTCATGGGTTACTTTTTGTGTAATAGCTTTCTACCTGGATTCTGAGCCCCTGAAGGTTTAGTATGTGACCCCACTCCCTGCCATTTTCTATTTTCTACAAGACATCGCAGAACATAATATATATTTCTCCAACCAAAACGGAGAAAAATAGCAGAGTAATCCGTAACTCTCCTATACTGAGGTGGGGGGCATATACTTGGTGCAATCACTTTGGGAGACCATTTGATAATAACTGGTAAAGCTAGGGATGATTATATCCTACAACCCAGAACTCTGCTCCTGGATATACATCCTAGAGAAACTCTCCCACACGTCCACAGAAAGACTTGTACAAGAATGTTCCTAACAGCACTGTTAACAAGAGTGAAAAAACAACTAAATGGCCATTGTATCARTCAGGATCAAAGCAGGAAATTGCTGGCATACTCAAACTAGGATAAATAAAGGAAGATTTTAAAGGGAATTAATTATTTGGGATACATTGGGCATGGAGAAACTACAACAGTGTAGTACTCCACAAACAGAAAAGCAGACCTGCTATCACTTGTATACCTACAAGGAAGAAGGGAGGGAGTGTTGCTACCCAAATCCGGAAAAAGAGTCTGAGAAAAAAAAAAAAAAAAAAAAAGAGAGAAGCAGCAGCTTCAAGGGAGGAATACAGCCAGTGCAACACAACTACACAAGAAGTGGTGTAACAAATATGCTGACTTGGGCTTTCCCCTCCCTCTGGTCTCCAGCTGGGGCTTCCTGATGGTTGAACACAAGGGAAGCTAAAGGGCAGGGAGTCTACTGGTAATTGCCCATAGAAGTCAACCTGCTGGAGCACTGTGGAAAAGGGGGAGAGATTTGGAAAGGCAAAGGTAGAATAAAGAGAGAGGCAAATTTGAAGACTCTCAACATATCCATCCACAAAATGTATAAAGCATATATTTATAAATATACGCATCCATTTATRAATACATAAATATTCATAAATATTCCCCAGTAGGAAAATGAGGTAAGTGGAACTACTTATTTCACTACAGATAAATCTCAAAGATGTCATGTTGACGAACAAGGTCAAGCCCCACTACAGAATGGCACCATAGCAGGCATGTTTTCCCAAATCTGCCACACATGAATTTCTGGCTGCACACAACTTCCAGAATCTTGCCACTCTCCCACCAAGAGTTGCAAAGAAGGAAAAGAAGGAAGTTCAAGTAGAGAATTACAGGACACACCTACATTGGATAGGGAGGTAGGAAAGTCCTAGGAAGCAAATGAAATTTCAAATTGAGAAGGAGCCAGTCCATCAGAGCTACCAGTATCTGTGGTAGCTCGGAAGAGCAGGTGCCAAGACCCTCAGAAGGGAAAGGGCTTGGCCCTTTTAAGCACAAATCAAGAAAACCAGTGAGGCAGGAAAACTGGGCAAGGGCGAATGGGCATTAAGCCAGATCATGCTGGGCATTTGGGTGATCTCCCTGGGGTTGTAAAGCTGGGGAAATAAAAAAAAAAAAAAAAAAAAAGGGGAATCGGGAACCTCACTTCCTCTTGACTTATGGCTGACATTCGCTGAGCGCCTAGCATGTAGTGACAGTGGGTTACACAGCGACTCTGATCTGTGGACACTCCCAACAGCTCTGTGAGGCAGATTACCTCCGTCCCGCATCCTGGGGGACCCTCACTCTACAGTTACAGGGACAGCTGCTGCTAACCCAGCAGCGAAAGACTCCATCTCAGTAAGCAACCCCAACAGCGGGGTGCACGGTGCCTCGTGGTGAACGACTTCCGGAAGGGCACGGCCTCCAGGAGCGCTCCTCCAGCGCCGCCTACGACCTCACGAGGCCTCCCGTCCTACAGACGGGGAAACTGAGGCCGGGTCCGCTGAGGGCCGTGGACTAGGCAGGGCTTGGAACTGCAGAGCCCCGAGCTACTTCTAACTCCGCTCGGCCGCTTCCTCTTACTCTCCCCCCTCACACTGCCAGGCCCGGGCCAGCGAGGACGCCGGCGCGAACGCCTAACTCGGACCCGCCTCTCCCGCCGCGAGAGCGGGCGGTGCGGCCCCTATTGCGGTCCCCGGTCACGAGTGCAGCCCGCGATGGGATCCGGCTGGAGGCGCGCGCGCGCCGAGACCGAAGGCTCCCCTGGCGGAAGGTTCCGCATCTCGGCAGATCTTTTCCTGGGCGAAGGCCGGCGGTACCTGAGGAAAACGCGTCCAGGGTCCTGCCCCGGGCTCTGTGGAAAACATCCCCAGCCTCCGCAGCAGACATGGCGAGCGAGTTTCTGGCCAGTCCCGCGCACGCTGCGTGGGAGGGAGCAGCCACCCCACAGCGCCCAACCGCTGCGTGCCCGACTCTGGGCGGTGCCCTCTTCTTGGAGGCGGGGCGAGGCGGGGCGGGGCGGGGCGGGGCTCGGCCCCTCGGGGCGCCTCTAGTGCTGCCTGGGCGGGACGGAGGCGTGAGCCGCGGCTCTGGGATGGACCTTGGCCCCTAGCGAGAGGAGGCCGGATGTCTGGAGCCCCCAACGCACAGCCGCTGCCATTGGGTTCAGTCTTTGGGGTTCCTCAAAGGTAGAGTTGCCAAGTTTCACAAAGAAAATTCCAGCAGCCCTCCCCCCATCACCCCGTTAACTTGGAATTTCAGATAAATTTTTTTTTTATGTAGTGTAAGTATATCCCAGGCAATTTTGAGAGATACTTATGCTCAATTTGTTTTTCATTGTTTATCTGAAAYTACATTTTAACTGGAAGTCTTGATTTGTTTCCTGATGGCCACGCTATCTCCAGGTCCCAGCACAGCCCTAAAGGTGACATAAAGTCTTTGCCTGGTTCTGCCCCAGCCTGCCTGTCTCCCATAACACTGCAGCCATACCAGCCGCTCAGTTCATTAAACATGTAAATCCAGGCCCCTCTTTGCATATGCAGTTCTGTCTGCTCCTGCTGAGCCCCTTGGAAGATCAAGGCCTGTCCTGAAATGACGCTGCCATGGTGAGGCCTTACCCCACACATTCGCAACACTCTCTCCCATTCTAAACCAAGTCTCTCTCCTGCTTCATTATGCTACCCCTCCCTCGTTCTTGTCCCTCGTTGCACTTTGCATAGTTGATAGTTCCATGTTAATAGGTGGAGTTCTTTAATATCTTCTTTCCCAACTCAACTGAAGGTCTGTGGGGGCAGCTAGMTTGACTGTCCTGCTGTTGCTTGAATAAATAAATGGATGAAGATATGCAAGTTTCATTTTTGCTTGAGGATTAAATAAATCTGTAGTCAGCATTTTCAGATCAATCTAAGTGCTTGATACATTTTTGCTATAGCGGATATCATTAGGACTGTTGTTACTATTGTCATTATAATTGTTAATGTTGGAATATCCTCCAATTCATTATTTTCTAGTCGGAATTCTATTCCTCTTTCAATGTTCTCTTCAGGCGTAACATTTAAAATCAATCGAGCTTCATTTCATTGCAGATAATCAAAAGTTTGTTCAAACTGGCTTAACTGGAGAAAGAAATCCATTGGCATGCATAAATTAAAACATGACAGCAGCTTCAGGAGCCGTTTGACCCCTTACCCATATGGTGTTGTTAGAAACCAGTTTCTCTCTATTTGCCTTATCTGCCTTTTGTAACTTTGGCTTTGTCTTTGCTCTTCACAGAAAGGACTCCCTCTCATCACTTGTTAGCTCCTGTCTCCTCCATAGGAGCAAGAGGACTGCAGAGGTTCCAGAGCACATCCTCTGGAGACACCACCCAGGGAGGAGAGGAAAGAAGTCTCTTTTTTCCTCAGAAGCCCCCAGCAAACAGCTGTTCATCCCTGCATGCCAGTAGATACGTGCTCCTCTCTGAAGCAAGGTCAGAAGGTAAATGGTGCCTTTGGATTGGCTCCAGCCATCAGGGCTACCCAGGAGATGGAGGGGCATCAATCTCACCCCAGCTACATGCTGGGAATGAGGAGCAGAGTCCTCTTAAAATGAGATCTGGAGGCTGTTGCCCCGAGAAAGCTGATTTTTAAGAAAAGCCATGTTATGATTTAGATGTGAACTGTCCCCTAAAACCTCATGTGTGAGACAATGTAAGAAGGTTCAGAGGTCAAATGATGGGGTCATGGGAGCTGGAACCTAATCAGTGGGTTAATCTCCTGATGTGGATTAATTGGGTGGTAACTGTAGGCAGCAGGGTGTGGCTGGAGGAGGTGGGTCACAAGGGCCTGCGGATCTCTCTCTCTCTGCTTCCTGGTGCCCTGTCCTGAGCTGCTTTCCTCCTCCATGCTCTTCTGCCATGATGCTCTGTCTCACCTCGGGCCCAGAGCAGTGGAATTGGCTGATGGTGGACTGAAGCTCTGAAATCATGGCCAAAATAAGCTTTTCTTCCTCCAAGTTGTTCTTGTCAGGTCTTTTGGTCACAGTGACGAAAAAGCTGACAGAAACAAGCCATCCCGTTTCTCATGTGGAATGAGCACAGTGAGGAGGCTGTCAGCCAGTGACTCCCATGTCCCCTCCACGCTTCCCTCCCCCCACCCCGTCCCTACAGCAGTGACACTTATACAGTGACCAAATCCGAGTGTTGTGTTATCTGGAGACCCGCCTCTGCTATTAAGAGCATCAGTTGCTGTCTGGGGCTTTAGCACAGTCTCACTTCATGAAACGAGCAGAGCAATTTGTGCACACACTCGAAGGCCTTAGGCTGTTGGACCTTTATAGTTCTTCCGTCTGCCTTCATAGATCACCTGTCTCCTTGCACTTGGGCTATGAGTGCCTGACCTGGCATCTCCCACTAGCAAATCCCACCACCCTGCCTCCTTCCCTTGCTTCTCATCTGCCCAGGTTTGTGAAGCCAGATGACAAAGGCTGTTAGGACTATGAGCCAGGGTGACTTGTGAATTTGACCATGAGTCTTGGCATAAGTGCCTGAGGTCTCTTTTAGAGAACGGTGCTTTCTCGTTACTTCTCCTGAGACACTGTTACCTTGGCTGGGCCACAGGGTCCAGATATTTGTTTGAACATTATTTGGACATTTCTGTAGGGATGTTTTTTGAAGGAGATTTGTATTTACATTGGGACTTTGAGTCAAGCAAATTATCCTCCATAATGTGGGTGGGCCACATCCAATCAGYTGGAGGTCTGAATGAACATTAGCCTGACCTCCCAGATGAAAGAGGGAATTTAACTAGCCGACTGCCCTTGAACTTGAACTGGAGCATCAGTGCTCATCTTGGGGTCATGGACCTTCTGGTCCACCCTACAGGTTTTGTACTGGTCAGCCTCCGTAATCATGTGAGCCACTTCCTTAAATTAAACCTCTTGCTGTAGATGTAGACACAGCGCATCAATTCTGTTTCTCTGGAGAACCTTAATAYAGACTGGGAGGTCTTTCTTTGGAAGTGTCCAGAACTGAGTTCATAGTTATCTGTGTTCAGGAGGGAAGGATACTATCCCCATGTAGTACCTTTGAGCTCTGTAGAACCTGGAGGGCACTAGGTAGCTAAGCACTGTGGGCGTCAGATGCCCCTCACCTTTACTTAGTCCTGACCAGCACCTGTGTAGGTGGGGCTCGGGATGGGCTGGGGATGGGAAGGGGTCTGGGAGAAAGGGCAGCYCCTGAAAAGTAGGGGTGTTTTACCTTTTAAAAAAAAAAACCCTGAAAATTAAATGGCTGAGTTTTTAGACTAGGACAAAATGCCATGTGTACTCTCAAAACAACAAAATGTGAATGTTATTTTTAAAAAATTACCAGCTTAGCTGATATCATCATAGACTGGGTAGAAACAAGACTTACAATTTTTTTTCTCTGTGTGAGAGGATAGAAAAATTTATGGAAAATTCCAACTAGACCTGTGCTCTGCAGTGGAAAGCGGGTTCACGACCTTGGACCTTTCAGACATTCCTACGTCCCTCATTATTGGAAATAAAATAATTATACATGTTATCATATAGAATTATTCCTTACAAGCGCCTGCCAAAGCCTTTCCTGCACATTCTCTTTTTATTCCAAAAACAAAATGAAGTTTTGCCTCATTTTAAAGATGAGATCATGGACCCTCTGCGAGGAGTCATCCCACTATGTACCAAAATGACCAAGCTGAGATTCTCTCCCTCCTGCTTTCCGTCCCTGGTCATTGATTTCCATGCCTGTGGTGTTCTTTAGAACTCTGCCAGGCAGGCCTCTCTGTGCTGCCTGCCATCTGGCTTCAGGAGTTTCTTAGGACTTGACTTTGAACACTTGTTCCCATTGGACATCATTGTTCAGAAAACAACCAGGAGCTGACTCAGAGGTTAGACTGCTGACCTGGTTTAAGATCAGATCATGTGACTTGGGGTAACTGGTCCACTTGCCAGCACTGTGGCCTTAGGCAAGTCTTTGGACTTCACTGAGTTTCCTTGGCCTCACAAGTAAAGTGGGGATTTTCACGTCTGACTACAGAGATATTGGCAGAATTCAGTGACAAAGACTGTTTAAAGTATATCTCTCAGCACATACCACTTGCTCAATAAATGGCTTGTTAATATTATAGTGGTTATTATTTCATAGAAGCCATTGACAACTGCCCAACTAGGCAGAACATTCAGGCTCAAAGGCAGACCCAGATTGGAATAGAGAACTTGAGTTCAATAACTGTCCCTTGGGCTGGGCACAGTGGTGCATGCCTGTAATCCCAGCAGCTTGGGAGGCTGAGGCAGGAGAATCACAAATTCAAAGCCAAACGTAGCAACTTAGCAAGGCATTAAGCAACTCAGTGAGACCCTGTCTCTACATAAAATATAAAAAAGGGATGGGGATGTGGCTSTATGGGAAAGTGGCCCTAGGTTCAATCCCTGGTACCAAAAAGAAAAGAAATCGTATCTGGCAGAGTCCTTTCTTGTGTCCTGTTTATTCAGACCATGTTGTCCAATGCAGTGGCCATTGGTCACATAGGACTACYTTTTTATCAATAAAAATTAAATAAAATTTAAATAACAGTTTCTCTGTYGCACTAGGCACATTTCAAGGGCTTAATGGCCCTGTTTATATGGTTGGAATTTGGAGGGGTGGAGTACAGGACACCCAGTTAAATTTGAATGAAATAAATTATGTTCCAGTATTATTATGGTTTAGATATGTGTCCCCCAAAAGCTCAGGTGTGAGACAACGCAAGAATGTTCAGAGGTGAAATGATTAGGTTATGAGAGTTTCTAACCTAATTAGTGGATTGATCCACTGATATGAATTAATTGGGTGGTAAATGTAGGCAGGTAGTATATGAGTCTCTGGGAGTGTGCATTTGGGGTTTGTGTTTCATTATTGGTGAGCGGAGCTCTCTCTGTACTTCCTGACTGTCACATCCTGAGCTGCTCTCCTCCACCACATCCTTCTGCCATGAT